GTTTTGTTAATGAAGAAAATTAGCTGGAGACCCTAGATAATTTCCTAAAATCTGACAACCTAGACCTTGACCATGGTGGAGATGCAGATAAAGTATGGCTTGTTCATATCAGTATTTCAAATGATAGGTAATTAAAAAAAAAAAAAAAAAAAAAAAAGTAGTGTGATTGTCTCAATTTCAGGGCTGCACAGAGAAATTATTTTTGCAGTGAGAAATTATTTGCAAGCAAGAGTACAACTGGGTAACTTTATTGTAAGACACAAAAGATAAAAGAGATTTTTGAAACAAAACAACACAGTCAGTTGCTTTGTGACATTTCTCAGTGGGAGATTCCATTGGCAGCTGTTCAACACCATTTGTAAGCTAATATTAAGTTAAGACTAAATGTAAGCAGTCCTTAACCATAGTATTCCACCTAAATACTGACAAGTTTTGGGTGATTTAGCACAAAAAATATATATTTTACAACTATACTCCTTGTCTCATGAACTTTAAACTACTTAGGCATCTTCCAACCTTCTTTACTTTCATAAGCTAAAGCTCAGAATTATATTTAAATCAGAGAACATGCATATCACAGAACTGCCATGGGATGATTTCTTCTTTCCCAGCCTGCAGAGTTGTTGGTGTCATGAACAGACAGACTAATAACAAGATGCTATTTACCATATGTTCACTTTTGGAGTGATTGAATAAGACTGGACTGGTAGAAACTGAAATCTGATGTAGAACTTGAGGTGTGTACTTAAAGATGTCCAGTAGTTTCTGTCTGAAATATCCCTAATTAAGGCTGCCAGAACCTATGCAGCAAGCAGTAACAAATTTTTGGACCAGTTTTTGTTTTCTAATGACTTTTGCCTTAATATCTAATAATTTTTTATTGAGCTACAATGTAAGTATTTTCAGTGTTTCAATTTCTGCTTTCCCAGGTTCAGAAAATTATTTCAAAAAGGCATTCTAATATTAACTGAAACTTCATTAATGCTAAAATGAAAAGATTTTTATTGTGTTAAGGTTTATATGGGAACGGTTTGTAAGTATGCCTGAATTCAGGAAATTTAATACTCAGAAGAACTACCTTTTTGTCATCATGCTTTGTGGTTTTCATGCAGTTCGAGTGTTTCTTCAAAAATAAAAATGCACAAAGTAGTAGAGCAAGTACACTGCTTGCCTGGGAGCTTCACAATTTGTTCTTCACCTGCAGAGAAACCCAAGCATACTCGTAAGGTCAAGGATTTCCAGATCAGATATCTCAATCTCCTAAAATCTTCTCTCTCATGCTTTTACAAGCAATGAGACACAAGAACAGTTTGCTTTACTTTACTCCAAAAAGTAGGTATGTGTAAAGCCATTTGTTAGAATATCCTTCTCTCAATATCCGACTCCCTCTGGGAATAAAGTGTCCTGAAGTGATAAAAATGTCTTTTAAAATTAATGGATAAATGGGATATTGCACTTTTCCTTAGAATAATCTTATATTTTTACCTTGGGTTTTTTTTTTTTATTTAAGTAGTAAAAATTTAATTTCTTCCTTATTCCCTTAATGATTTTGTTATGATATACTGTCATAGCTCAATATACAACACAATAATGAGGCACACATGGTACTTAAAAAGGTATTTATCTCCTTAGATCAGCAGTAATTCTTCTGAACTCTAAATGTTTCTAATTTCTGTATTAGTTGCAGCCATGCGCCAAAAAATTATTTACTACAGTGAGAGACATAGATTTCAGATCCATCTAGCATAGATTTAGTAAATACATTGATTTATAAATAATAAAAGCACTAAACCATGTCAGCTACAAACCCCCCCACCCCCCCAAAGAAAAAAAAAGTCACGGTAGAATATGTATCAGAGAAGAAAGGATGTAAAGAAAGATAAAAAACGTCCTTGGCTTTGGTTTCTTTGTTTGGGTTTTTTTTTTGTTTGTTTTAAGATAGAGCCTTCTATTCTGAGCATGCAGGAAGAAGTGTTTGAAAGGAGAATGTTCTGCATTATAGACTAGACAGTTTATTTTGTCAAGCTCAGGTTAGTAGAAAAAGTTACGTACTCGTTAAACCACTTTATTAAATGTACAAGCTGATTTATCGATTTGATAAGTAAGGAGGGAAAATAACAAGAGGAAAAAAGATTTTAAGGGAGCCTGGAAGAAAGGCCTGCAACCACTTACAGCCTGGGTTTTGTTTCTCTAAGGACTTTACATCTTACGAGAGACAGACTCTTTCCTGTATGGGTGATTACTTTGGTAACCTAGCTGTGTTAAGAATGGATACATATCCATCTGAGAACAAAAGAAACAAAACCAACGACTGAGCTGAAAAGTAGTGGAAATTTTTCCAAAGTTTTCAGACACTTTCATCAGTGCCTGGTCTAGCACATTTTGTCATGCTGGTATTCTTATCTTCAGTTCATAGCAGAAGGCTCTGTAACTTGAGGTTTCTATTGCCTCTATTGCTGTTGGCTACTACTTTCTGTACATAGGTCTTTATAAGCTGTCAAGGGCTAAGCTGGTTCATACAGCAGTCCTTTGTTACAAAATACCTTATTTGTTCATAGAGAGAGAGATAGTCTTTGAATTAAACTTAAAAATACTTACTGCCTTCTTACATTTTATATCCAAGGGTGAAAGGAATATTTTTTATGTGCAGTGCTGGTATACTGTCCTTGACCCTATGTATACTGCATGCATGCTGTGCCATGACCTACAAGATCAATGAAAACAAAGGGTTTTAGACTTTGATCTGAGGAATATAGCACTGTAATTTAAAACAAAGTGAAGTATTATGTGAGCACAATCCATTCTTCACTGGTTTCAGAAGTTCACCTACAGAAAGTTTTTCAAGGTATGACAGTCAAATGTGAGCAGGTGTTTGTGACAGTGGAACTAATGAAGACTTCTTTCAGATCCATTCCTTTTCCCCAAAGCTTTACTTGATGTGTTCTAGTAGAAGAGTATATAAGCAGGTTCTTCTTGCAGAGAAGAAACCAACTGAGGCTCATTTTCCATAAGTATGAAACCATTTTTTTAGTTCCTGTGAAAATGGCAAGTACACTTAATTTAGAGCGTTATGAGGAATAGACTGTGGGAAAAACAAATGGACACCACAGACATCCCAATAATATAGTATTTCTAATGTGTGTGTAGTAGCAGCATGAGATACTTTTCTCAGCCCTAGAACATTCACATCACCTCCGAAGGAATTCTCTGTGCCTGTCCAAATATATATATATGTAACTATACACACACTGGAGGAACAACACACAAATATCCTTCTGTTCAAGACTGATGATGAAAAAATACAGTTTTTAGAAAAACATTTCCCACTCCCCCTGAAGAAAGAGTACTTCTAGAAGACATAGGAAATGACAAGAAATGTCAACTGGACGGCTCACATTTCTATCATCACAGATTTGCATATTTTCTATAGCTTTTTGTCACCTAAAGGATGCTTTTTACATCAGCTATAAGTTAATAATTATTTGATAGTACAAAATCAAACACTAGGCAACACTACACTAAAATTCACTTACTGTGTGTGTTTGCCATACTTATTAAAAGAATAATTTTCAGTCCTTTCTTTTACTCCTGTTTGTGAAATATAAGTTCAGACAACCTGGCAGAGATATAAGCAAATTATGTATGTAACTTAAAGAGGAATTAATGTTCTTCATTACTGTCGTAGAAAGAGTAATTCTTGCACGGGATCCAATGCTGAAGAAATTTGCTAACTGGAAGAATCTGAGGATCTGATGCAGGTGCTATTAAATTTACATCACAGAAATCTTTAATGCTGCTTATTTGAAAGATACAACCAAACAACAACTAGTTACAAAAATATGAAAAAAACCCCATCCAGATAGCTATATAATAATAAAATAAAATATAATAATACAGAATAGTTTAGAAGGCAATAGATAATTTTCTGAAGAATTCAGAAATCCTTAACAAATTATTCTAAATTTGTTCTATTATTCTACTTAAGGTAAATTATTCTACTTAAGGTAATCTGAACATTCTTAATAATGGTGGTGTATATCTCAATAATACCTTCCCTTTCATATTTTATGACATCCAACCTATTACTCCTTTTATTTATTGATTTTTTTTTCTAAGAAGCCTGTACCTGATGAGGAAACAGGCTTAGAGTTTTAGAAACAAAGAACTTAATTGATAATATAGGTTAAATCAATGGATTTATGCTTCATATTCTTTTGTAATGTAGTTGATCCATCTGTTTCTCCAAAGGCAAAAATTAATCATAATGTGCTAGTGGATATTTTTCTCCACTATTTCACAAAATATCAGTTCATTTTGCTTTAAGTGCCTTGATAGAACTGGATTTGTTTTGTTACCTAGCTTGGATTGCTGCCCAGCATACAGAGTCTCTCCCTAATGCACTAAATTGGGAATCATATTGAAGGAGATATCTTGTTTTACTGACCAAAAACTATGGAGCTTTTAATTTACCATATTTCAAATTCAGATGAAAGTAACCAATTAACTGAAATTGCAATTAACCTCAACTATGTAAATAAATCAATAAACTGCTGAACATTGTTAACTCTGTATAGAGGAATGGTAGTTCTAGAGACCAATGTGGAGAGTTCAAATCCACATTTATCAATTCACCATAATAGAATCCAAGCTATAAAAGTAATTTCTTCATGCTTGACAAGAAATTGCTGCAGAACTTTGAATCATACAAAGCTAAAGTGAGTGCTGTTTGACTTTCTTATGATTATTTTTAAAGCTGCAGTAAACAGTGCTTCTCAATTAGGCTGTACATAATATTCATGCACATTATATTATAGTATATGCAAATACAAGATTTTTCAGGAGAATATGCTAAGTATAAGAAAACGCAGTTTGATTCTGGAAAACAAATGTAGTGCACTAATAAAGACCAGTCATCAGCCAAGCTCCATACACCTGCTTGCTCACTCCTCCCCAGGCGGTATCAGGGAGAGAATTGGAAGGATGAAAGGTAAACTTGTGGGTTGAGATAAAGAGAGTTTAATAGGGAAAGCAAAAGTCACATACACAAGCAGAACAAACAAAGAATCAATTCACTCCTTCCCATGGACAGGCCATCCCCAAAAGTGCAGGGCCACATCACACTCAACAGTATCTTTGGAAGACAAATGTCACCATTCCAAATGTTCCCCCTTTTCCTCTTTCTTCACCCCACTTTATATACAGAGTATGATGCCATATGGTCTGGAATATCCCTTTGGAGGTCACCTGTCCTGGACGTGTCTTCTCCCATCTTCCCATGTACCAGTCTCCACACCAGCAGGGCCATGCAAAAAGCAGAAAAGGCCCTGGCTTTCTGTGATCCCTGCTCAGCAACAACAAAACATCTCTGTATTATCAACCTTGTGTTCAGCACAAACCTACTTGTAAGGCTAGATGGAAGAATGAAATAATTTTCAAATGAACATTTTACAGTTTTAGTTTTACACTGGGCAAGAGGTGTGAAATAATTCATCTCGTTATCACATTCTGATTAAGGCCGGTCTAAGTACAGCTATCCCTGAGAAGAAGGCACAAAAAGTGTATCCTATAATCCCTTCTGTCTTTTGCTAGTACCATCTGTAGCGGAAAACTAAATGAACATTTTTGAAAATACAAAAAATATACAAGAATCCTAGCCTAGCTGACTTTGATGAAAAATTATTTGAAATTAGATCTTTAATACTTGCCTCTGGAATCTTCTGATTTCAAGAACTATAATACAATAACTTGAAAGTAATGAACAGGAATGAAGACCAATATCTGTGACCAGGCTGTAGCTGATTCTAAAGCTCAGTAGAAATTTATGCAATTTCTAATTTTGCTGTTAATCTAGTTCACTAGAAAATGCCAGAGAACATTTTTTTCATAGAGTATTTCAGCTCTATTTCCACTTACAATAAAACTGTAATGATTCATAAGTATATCTGGATTCACTATTTGTCGCTTTCACATGATATTTTAATAGCCTATTTTTCACTGCTCTTAATAGGAAGCGAGTTGATAAAGCAATTGGATTGTATGCAAAGCTTTGACTTAAAGAAGTGCTCAGTGCAATCATACATCTTATACTGAATTTTTCATATTTTTCACAATTTTTTTTAATTTGCAAAAGAAATCTGATTAAGAAAACCTAGCTGAGAAAGCATTATCATCATCATCATGTTCAATAGTGAAAAACAAAACCATCATCATATGTCTACCCCAATCATCCTTCCTTTCCCAAATTATAAACATTACCTTAATACGGCCAACATTACATCTGAAGGCATCATTATGTCAGTATGCTTAAAATCTTTTATAAAAGCATTTAATGGACAATATTATGCAGACAGAAACTGTTTTTGTAATGCTATCAACTCTATATGCTGAATTCCAGTGAGAATTCAGCATGTTAAACATTATTTTGAGTAAAAGATTATGTGATACTAAGAAATTGACAGCACAAATAAAATTGTTGCACTGTTTCAAATTTTAATAATGCCACTATTCTATGAGACTTCAGATTACAGTTTTCATAAATTTCTTTCTAATGCAGGGGTCTAGGCAGATAAGAGGAATAAAAAGAAATAGGCAGACACTGGGTAAGGTGCTCAAACATTGAAGAAATAATGATTTTACTAGAAAATGCTATGAGGACTGTTGTAAATGTTTGTATGGTCAAGGTAAAAAGCCAATAGAATAAGATAATGGTTTACTCAAACCAGGTACAGGTGACAGGTACAGCTTTGATGTGCCAAAAACTGAAGATCATCTAAAAGGACAAGATTACACAGTTATTTGATAACTACATACTTTTTTCATGTAGACAAAATAATATTAAGTTGATGGGAAACTAACTGGACAATAGTTTGCTACTTCATGTTAGTAGTTTAAATTGTATTAACTCAATAAAGCAGGACATTTGCAGATTTTGCTCTATTCTATACAAATTATAAAAATTCCAAGATGAACTCCAATACTATTGGAATATTATATGTAAGAACTGATTTTAAAGAATACACTTAATTATATTTCCTCAGTTCTAAACAGTGGACAAGAAGCAGTAAACAAATTTAAATGAAATAAAAACTGTGTGTATCTCGGTGGATGTACAGCATCAAGAACACAAATAGTCGTCCAGAAAAGAACAAAGAAAAATGTGACCAAGGAAGATAGAATACTTTTGGATTGCCTTTAATTTAAGGTTTTTGGTAAGCTGAATCTGAGTCAGCAGTGCCCTGGCAGCCAGGAGGCCCAAGTGTGTCCTGGGGGGTATCAGGCACAGCATCACCAGTTGGGCAAGGGAGGGGATTGTACTGCTCTGCTCTGAGCTGGGGTAGCCTCACCTCAAGTGCTGGGGACAGTTTTGGGTGCCACAATATAAGAAAGATATTAAGCTCTTGGAGAGCATCCCAAGGAGGGCCATGAGGATGGTGAAGGGCATTGAGGGGAAGCTGCATGAGGAGTGGCTGAGGTCACTTGGACTGTTCAGCCTGGAGAAGAAGTATCTGAAGAGAGACATCATTGCGGTCTTCAAGATCCTCACAAGAGGAAGTGGAGGGGTAGGTAGTGATCTCTTAACTCTTGTGACCAGTGATAGATCTTGAGGAAATGGCGTGAAGCTGAGTTAGGGGTGGTTTATCTTGGATATCAGTTCTTTACCCAGAGGGTGGTTGCACACTGGAACAAGTTCCCCAGGGAACTGGTCACAGCACCAAGCCTGACAGAGTTCAAGAAGTGTTTGGACAACACTCTCAGGAACATGCTATGACTCTTGGGGTGTCCTGTACAGGGCCAGAAGTTGGACTTCATGATCCTGATGGGTCCCTTCCAACCCAGCATATTCTGTGATTCTTTGATTCTATACACTTTTGAACACTCACTGAGTAAAATAGAAGTTGTTTTGTCTTATTATCATTTTGGAATATACACTTACAGTTTAAGAGTAAAATAAGAATTATTTGCATAACACAATTTTCTGAACTATATTAATCTGTTTTTACTTTAATAAGTGATGTTTGGTTTGTGCATTGTTAGAAAACCTCTATCTTCGAAAAGTTAAATCTCAGAACAATGACAAAGATACCTCACTCTGAATCCTAGTCTTTCACTAAATATTTCATTTCTCCAGGTGTTTTTATTGCTTGCTTGAAACCCTGTCCATTACAGAATCATAGAATCATAGAATATCCTGAGTTGGAAGGGACCAACAAGGAGCACTGAACTCCAGCTCTACAAGGCAGCGGCTCTGCAGGAGTTGAAGTAATCTGTCCTTAATATTGTATAACATTAACAGCAGCTGGCCATAATATCACTAAGTACAGCTAAATCATCCATTCCCTGAGAATCCAAGTTATAAATGCAATCATACTATTTTATTAGTGGTCAAGAGTTGCATTCATTAAACCTTCAAGTGCCTTCTACAATCAAAATTTCAGAAATTCATTTTTTCTTGGGTGAGACTTGAAGGTGTGAAATGAGAGGAAAACAAGAAAAACCCGTCATCTCCATCTATGGTATTTTCAGATTGGTGCATGTTGATGTGAATCAGAATATAGAACTGACAGAAAAATAATGTTTCTAAACCAAACATAAATTATATAAATATTATTGGGGAAACAGCTCTCAAAACCACTGGGATGCTCCAGCTATGTAATTAATAATTTACTGAATAGTTCCCCAGTACAAAAAATCTGTGATATTCAGTAAACATTAAACTTCACAAAAACAGCAGACATTTGAGACATACCATGCCATAAATGATCAGCTCACTTGAGCACATAAGTTCAGACACTCTTGAAGCTCAAGAGTATTTCTGTAGTTAATTGACATAATCTCTACAGGGAAGATATTTTTAAAAGCAGGATTAGATTACAGACAGTTACCCTTGAAACTGAGTAAAAATGTTGTTACACAATGAAAGAAAAAATCTTATCAGGCAGTCATTTACTTTTTGAAGTTTATTAGGAGGCTCAGACATCCTAGTAAATTGCCATTCTACTCAGAAAATTAGTCTGCTTTTATAAAAGTAAGGGTATGCATGTATGAAAGAGTATTCACAGAGGATGAACATTGAGATAATACTGTACTGATTTTCTTGACCTTTAAAGGCAAAAGACATGTTCATTCTTGTAGGCTGTAATAACTCTAAACCATATTCTGCTAAAAACTCTCCAGGGTCAAAAGCTTCCCTACAAATATCTATATTAGGGAAAACATAATTTTACAAGTAAGTTTTTTAATTTTTCTGAATTCAGAAGTTTAAAACACAAGGTGTCAGACTCACCAACTACTCTCTGTAGGAAGGGAATCAGAGCCCTGTCTATCCTAGCTCTCCCAGCCGGCAAGCACAACCCTTTAATTCAAAAGAAAACAGACATTTACTCATTCCCTACAGATATGAACATATCTCTAGTCTCCCACCTTGTCTCTGATGACATCTTTTTCTTGTGGCTGTTATAATATTTAAAATAGTATTCACTGTGTTTAGATGGATAGAAAAGATAGAAAGATAGATGGATAGAAAGATAGAAAGGTTGATAGTAAGACAGATAGATAGATAGATATGGATGCACATTGACTATTGTCTAGTTTTCACACTTGTGAGTGAAAGCATAAATCTAATGTCAAGGTTTCTTTGTTTGAAACTTTATCTTTTTGTTTTTTTTTTAATGAAGTGACTCCAAAAGATGCTAGATGAATTGAAGAATTATTTTTCAAAAGGGATTATTTTCAAATGTATGGTATTCCATAGCCTGGTCACTGGTCTGCAGAGCATGTGCAAATTTTTCATTGTTGCTTGAAAACAATTTAAAAATATTTTGCTATGCAAAATAAAGAGAAAAAAAACCATTTTAGCACATAACAGAAGTCTGCTTGTAACCTTCACTGTGCAGCTGTTCTTTATCAAAGTATTTCTGATGACCTGTAAATCAAAAAAGAGTTTGACAGGTTTAAATTCACAATTTGTGTGAAATATACACATTTGGGTGCCACTCTGCAACAAATCCATTTCCACTGCAGAGGCGATAATCTACATAAACCATACAAACCTTCATATCTAGGATTAGCTCTTGTTAATCCTCTTTTTACTTCTCTCCACCGTCTTTCCGTTCCCTGCTGCACCAAGAATAAATTATTTGCTTTCATATTTTAAGTCCTTATGACCTATCTCTGCCCAACCTTTCATCTCGCCCATGACAGCAAGTCATTGACCCCCACCTACAGTTTTGCACGCTGTACCTGTCTGTGTATTTGGTGATATTTAGCTGCTTTTCAACACAGTTCCCCCCTTTTCCCAAACCATCTTGCCAAAATGTGCAGTATATTCTTTTCATTCTGACCTCTCATATCTTCAAAATAATGACATTATCTTTCTTAAGTCCCTTAAATCTATTCTTAGCTTTACAGCCAATGGGTAGGTAAATTAAGTGTTGTGACTCAGGTGTACTCCTTGCACAATTCCCCCCATCCTGGGTATCTATAATTCTACTTCATCAACTAATATAGTAATACATCGCTGTGTTAGTTTTTTGTGGTACAGCTCTTTCACTGTACTTGATTGCTAAAGGGATCCATCAGAACCAGTCAAACATAATTTTTCCCTTTCTTCTTTTTAGAATGTTGAGATTCCAGTATGTCCAGCTTTTGAAAATTTCAAGTACCCTGATATGAATCATAGTGTCTAATACTAGAACGAGTACTTGGATTCTGGTGCTGGCTTAATAAATAATAATATATCAATTCTAGAGGCGTTGACAGAATTTTTTGACAAAAAATATGTTACTGACATGGAAAAATTTTATCTTAGAGTATGAGTTAGATATTAAAGTCATTTATCTTCTTCCTGAAAGTCCAAAGTGTCCTCTCAGTTGGCAGCTGGCAGCCTAAAGAAGTTAGGGGCATTGGTTTATTCTGACCACAAACTCTGAAGTGTGATAACTACCCACACTTCTCTTCTTATTTATCAACAGGTCTTTTCATGGCTAGTGACTTACCTCCTATCCCATCTTTATTGAAATAATATTCAGCTCATTTTTTTTGCATTAGTAAAAAATACATCTAATAGAAAATAAATTAATTAATCTAAGTGAACAGGTGCTGTCTTCTACTTTGACTTATACCAGGATTTTGGAAATTAAATGTAAACTTTATACTGTTTGTTCCTCTTCCCCTTTTTTTTCCTGTGGTAGAACCTACTTTATGACTACTAAACAATCACTGTAGTTTGTTCTGGGTAGGTAAAAGACATACAGGCATACATCAGTCTGATCTGACACAGACTTTTCATCAAGCCCAAATGTCATGCCAATTTAGGACTTTATAGCATTAAAAAAGCAAAAACTTATGCCTTTCCAGTAGAATGCAATCATATAATTTCTCAATAGCATTCATCATTAAAGTATAAATAAACTATACTCTTCCTAGATGAGAATAATAAAAAAAAAATTCAGTCTCCCTGTGATATAGGTGCTATTTTTTGTGAGGGTTAACAGAAAAGGCTAGCAATACAGCCTTCCATTTTTTGAGACTTGTGTCATTTGTCAACCTCAATTTCCATGTAACATGCAATAAGATGAACTTATAAAATGATGCTTCACAAAAAAAGTTTGAGGCAATAAAAAGATAAACTCATCTGGGAATGTTGCCATCAATTCATGCTTTTCAGTGGGGAGACAAATAATTGTGCTGAGCTGGCTTTTATGTGAAGAGTAAAATTTGAATTGCAAGCATATTTTATATTTATAATTGTTATCATTTAGCTGGATTTTAAAAGTGGAATGATAATGGTGAATAAAAGGTGTAATTAGCCTTTCTGTGGCAGTTATGCATGATTGATAACACATATAAATCCCTTGTGGTTTTATTTTAGAAATCTGATAACCTATCTAATGGACAGCTAATAAGGGAGAGAGTGTTAATCTCTGCAGTTCCTCTGTTTCCAGGGTCTGATTGTTGGTCTACAGATTAAAATTAGTATGGAAAGTTATATTTATATATATTTGAATAGAGGTGGTTTTTTAAAACCAAGTAAGAGAGGAGGAAGAATAGATGTATCAGTATATGCATATGTACGAACAACCTGGATTTTCCTTTGCATATTGTGGTGCTTCTGAAGAAAGTGTTTTGTGAAAATTAGACCAGTTTTGAGAGAACCTATGAAGATGGACACAAATTATTATGGTGAAACATCCCAAAATAATTCTGAAAATAAATATTTTACTTCAACTTTCTGAAGTGCTGCCATAAAGATTACTAAATTCTTAGGCTTTTCCTCACTGGGACACCAGTAATCTTGAAATGCTTAATCCTGGATTAATTCTCAATCTTGTCAACTTTACTGGAGAGTTTTGCATTGTCCTTGATTAGCATTGTAATTATGTTACCATGTCCCAAAACCAGATTTTCCACCTCATTGACATTTCACTATGAAGTGTTCATCTACCCTGCAAATCCATTGCATATTTCCTTAAATACCTACACTGAGTCCCACAGACCATCTATTTTTTTTTACGCTACATGTACAGAACTGTAACTTAAGCAAATTAAGCTTCAGTGAGTCAAGATCACACTCAGCAATACACTTAAATTCAGAATATCATGAATACTGGGAACCAATGGCTTTTTCCCAGTCTCTAATCTGTGCTTGCAGTCTGGGTCTAGAATTTTCAATCTTTAGACCAGATCAGAAACCAAACATGGCTGAGTTCATACTAGGTGTTAAGAAAGAAATAAGGACCTTCAGAGTCTTCAGAAACAAAAGATATAACAATATAAATGTTTAACCTAAAGAATGCATAGATGGTTTCTAGCTTTTCTGTATCTCAAATCCAACAGTTCACACAAATGTCACTAATTTCACACAATTTACAAATTTATGGAAAGATAAAGAAGATTTCTAAGATTAAGGTTTTGGGGTTTTTTTTGTTTAGTCTTATTGCTTAATTGTCTAAGAATATTTTAACACTTTTTCATATTTATTTTACATTTGGTGGGACCATTTCTTTGGCTCCTTTTAATGACAAATTAATTGCTGTGGAGCAACTGTCCAGCTGTTTTATTAAATGACCTCTCTGGGCTTTATTTTTTTGAGTCCTGAATAAAGAAAGCTGCAAGACAAAATCAGTGGGAGACTGATCAGTTGATTTTCAGACCTTTAGGAAAAACAGAAGAGAAGTCATTTTATTGCCAGGCCAATTGCTCACAGAAGATGAATCACATATAATATGCAATTAGTTGTCAACTGCTTTATCATTATTAACTGTGTATTGTTTTTGCTTAAGAAAAAAATACTCACCAATATTTGAATTGATCATGAACTGTGTTAATTGTATATTTGCTGTTTTTATTCCAGCAAGAACAATCCCCTCACATCTTGGATGAAGGAGAGTAAGAATAGGAAGATATAATTAGCAGTAATGTAATTTATTTATTGTTGTAATTAGCCTAGTAAGTGGATGCTAAAAGATTCAGCTGATGAAAGTTGCAAGCTTTCATGGTTAGGAATTTGTTTTTAATATTTGAGGTCTTTTAACTTACACACTTCTTGAGTAATTTTTTTGTATGAAAGATTGCTTTGAAATTTCTCCCCATAAAAACATACATTATGGTTATTTTAATTGTATAAAACTTCTAAAATAATCCTGCCTCTACAACTCTAATTGTATCTTATTCATTGTAGTTCTAAGTTACATGTTCCCAATAGAATTTTCTTGGTTAATGGGCTTTAGTCACTGATCTGAAATGTCTGCATACAGAAAGTATAAATATTTCTTGATGTCTTTCTTATTTAATAACATTAATATAAAGGTTATGGCCAGGCATTTTTAAATTATAGGTTCGCTTTTAATGTGTTTTCTTGAAATGCTTACTCCATGCAATATGTATACAACTATACAAAATATGACTGAAAGAACTTTAAAAGTTCTATGCCATGCTATTTGACACATACATCCTCATTTGCCAAGACGAAAGAATTTACCAAATGTTTTTCACAACTTTGTTGTCTGGTTACAGCCCTTCAAAAAGAGTTCCTTGTATTTAATCGAAAATTATCTCAAAGTTTTCTAAAAGAAAAATATTTTCATGATTATTAATTGATTAGCATAAAAAATTGAAGTTGGAGTAGTGTATAGGCAATGTTGTCAAAATAATCAGAGTTATCAATGTTGCACTTGAGTAGAAAACTACCTGTTGCTGAAAATTAATCTGAAAATTTAATTTGGCAAGCTTCAGATCTGGAAATTCCCATACTCAGGGAATCAAAAGATAAATCTAAGATGCACATCAAAACATCTTATCACCAATCATGAAAACACATGAGAAGCAGCAGGGTGAAGAAAACCGACACAGAAGGCCTCTGAAGGGTAACATGAATGTCAGCTTCGATCAATGTTGACAAATTTGTTCATTCAGCCCTTTCCTGCCATGACTCAAAAGTATTGAAAAAGCCTTTAGGGGATATATTTTTTGGAAGCAGGAGTAAAATGGTACTACAAAGTGTGACCATTTATCACATAACATTGCTTGAAAATTAACCATCATATAGATACATTATAAGCCGGAAATGTCAGCTTGCACACTGTTACCAATTTTTTAGCGAAGCATTTGAGATGCCACCCAAATCTGAACTCTGAAATGCTTAGGGGAAAGAATAAAGTGGGGGCTTGCCGTGACCTTAGGCTATCAGATATAAAACATACCTGTGGTCGTCACTGTACATGACCTTTCCGTTGGAAAGAAAGAAATGAAACCTTGCAGTTCTGACCTGTAAAATGAGAACCCACAAAGAGAGTTAGGAAGTGCTTTTTGTGTGTTTAGTTTTTTGAGTTTTTTTTAAGAACTGGAAATAATAGCTTTTTTCTCAGAAGAAAACAACCCAATTTCCTGAAGAAGACAATAGTTCTATCAGTAAAGTGGAGCCTTTTTATCTACATTGATACAATTCAGGCAATGGCACTTATTTTCCACCGAGTGAATGTATGAGCTCAGAATGAGAGTCATTCTCCTCCCTCAAAGTACAAAATATTTTTTAAAAGAGTGTAATACCTCTAAACATGGCCTTGTATGTGTTTGCAAGCTATTGATAGAAGGGGAAGACCAAGTGATCATGTATGTTTTCTCTGTCATATCTTGACAAAAGCCATGTTGCAGATTTGGTCAGATCAGGAAACTGAATTTTTATCTTCTGAGACTTACTTCAGAACTTTTCTGATTGAGCATTTTCAGTAGCTGGGAACTAAATTTTAAATTTTTCTTTGAGTTCTTACACGACTGGATTTTGAAAGATGCTGAAATAAACTCATTTTTCTGGCAATAGGTCTATGCTTTCATTTTTGGATCATTGACCACTCTGCCACAAAAAGTGATTGAAAGCTGTGCTTTCAGCTTACTGAAAAAAACACTATTATAGATTTATTAGGGGGGGACAAAAGAAAAAAAAAAAAAAGAAAAAAGAAGTCATGAACTCCAGCCCCTTCTGTGTTAAAAATGATGAGACATGTTGGCATCCTGTAAGCTATAATTGTGCACTTCAGCAGGTCTTTATGTAATCATTACAAAGAATTGGTGTGTTCTGAGTGACACAAGTACCAACATGAAATTCAGTGCAATGTAGATGATTTTGCTGGCTGTGTTGTAGGCCAGTATGAAAACAGTTTGTCCTAACAGACTTTCCACTGTCCTTCATTTGTAAGAGAATAAAAGATACAGTGTGTAGAGCTGCAGTCTTCCTTTATCATTTAATTCAAATGCATTGCTTGGATTAAATTTGATCTGAGGTTATAATCCTTGATATCTGCCTAAATTGTGTGGCATCTGTGCCTGGCCATATGCCTCGTGAACCCCAATCTGCTGCCTCAGCCACCCAGTCACCACAACCTCACCTGCCCATTGCCCTTAGAAGGACTGGTCCTGACCCTGATCCTCACTGGGACACACAGGGACTCTAATAATACACTCTAGGGAGTGTATTATTGTACTCAGAATGCTCAAATTGCCTATGCATTGTCGCTGTCGAGGCAGGACGAAAGATGATATTCTGCAGTGGTTTATATATATTGATAGGTTTTTCTGGCTTTTTCATCCTGTCATGTTTGCACTGCACTTTAGTTCTAAGGTCTGCATCTGACACAGTGTTACATGCAAAATCAATTACTGAGGAGAATGGTAAAAATGAATGGGTCAAAGAATATCCAAGAAATGTAGAAAGCCATGGCTCTGAGGATGGCATCATGCAATGTCAATGCATTTGATAACAGGTGAGCATGCTCTTTCACAAAGGAAACAGATGAATCAACAAAATGAGAATTTTCTTACTACACACAGCACAGCTGCATTAAACTGAGTAATCAGTTGTCTGCTATTTAAAGTGACTGGTATACAAAATCACTACTGCAGGATCTTTCGCTGTGCTCGAGTTTTCACTTCTTGCTGCTCGAGTTTTCTTCTGGTCCCTGTTCCTTGTATTTATGTTCTTATATTCATCTTCAGAAAATAGCCAGACAGACATGCACACCTTCCATACATCCTTCTGGGAGGTTAGAACAAGGGAGTTTCATCACTGTATGTATTTTGTTCCCCTGTGTTCAGCACTGGTGAGGCTGCACCTCAAGTACTGTGCTCAGCTTTTGATCCCTCACTACAAGAAAGACATTGAGGTGGCTGGAGTGTGTTCAGTGGACAACAGATCTAGTGAAGGATGTAAAGAACAAACATCAGAGCACCATTCATAGAATTACTTGGTTTGAAAGAAATCTTAATGATCATCTAGTTCCAACCTCCCTGCCATGGGCAGGGACACTGTCCAGTAGACTAAACACTGTCCAGTTGCTCAGAGGCCCATCCAACCTGGTTGTAGACACTTCCAGGGATCGGGCACCCACAACTTCCTTGCACACCCAGTTCCAGTGCCTCACCACCATGTGAGAAATGAGTTTCTTTCTTACATCCAATCTAAGTACCTCCTCTTAAAATCTTATCACCATCTGCCTGTGTAAAATGCCATTCTCCCTCTTTTTCATAAAACTTACTTAAGTACTGAAAGGCTGCAATGAGGTCTCACTGGACCCTTCTCTTCAGGATGAATTTCATAGAAGAGGTGCCCCACCACTCTGATCAATTTTGTGGCTCTTCTCTGTACCCACTCCATCAGGTCCAACATGTCTTTCCTGTTCTAAGGATTGATGTAGACAAAATACTCCAAATGGGATCTCAGAAGAGTGGAACTTAGGGACAAAATCAGCCCCTCAACCTGCTGGTCATGGTTCTTTTGATACAGCCCAGGACACAGATGACTGGATGTGATCTGGCAGTGTGCACTGGCAACCCAGATGACTTTCTGGGTTGCCAGTGCACACTGCCAGATCACATCCAGTTTTTTAACCATGAGAACCCCTTTTCCATAGGGCATTTTTCAATGAGTTCTTCTGCTAGTCTGTATTCATGTCTTGAGTTACTCTTAACCACCTTGCATTTGGACTTGTGGAACTTCCTTATGATCTCATGGGCCTAGCTCTTGTCCAGGTCCCTCTGGAGGGCATCCTGTCTTGTCATATAAACTGCACCTCTCAGCTTTGTGTCATCTGCAAACCCTTGCTGAGAGTTGTTACATCCTGCCTCTAAAGACAAGGGCAACTCAGGTTCTTGTTAATAGAATCCTTGGGCTGGATTAGAGGGAAATGACACTGAATGGCTATCCACCGATCTTCTCCACTACTTCTTATTGGCCTCTTTCTTTATCTGGCTCAAATCCGTTTGTTGCTAAACAAAGGTTGATTTGTCATGGTCATCGTCTTGTGATAACCCCCTCTGCACCTGGACTGCTCCCTTGCACATTGTCAGCAAAGCACCTGCTGTTTTTGCAAATGGCCGATAGAGTTATTAACCATTATAATCTCAGTCTCTCACAAGGGTACATTCAATCCTATTGTCTGTGTCACTGAGAGCCATAATATAGAGTACCAGTTACAAGATGGGCACTGTAAGGGACATCACTTGTTACTAGACTCTGCTTGGACATAGAGTCATTGACCACAACTTTTATAAAAGGCTCAAAAAGAGGCAGCTGAGGAAGCTGGGGTTGTTTAGCCTAGAAAAAAAACAGCCTGAGGGGGGAACCCTATTGATCCCTACAACTACCTGAAAGGAGGCTGTAGTGAGGTGGGGGTCAGTCACTTCTCTCAAGTAAAAAGTGATAAGAGTAAATGGCCTCAAGGCTAATGGCCTCAAGGCATACCAGCAGAAGTTTAGACTGGGTATTAGGAAAGATTTCTTCAACAAAGGGATTGCAAACACTGGAAGTATCTGTCCAGGGTAGATGATGGTGGATTCATCATCCCTGAGGTATTTGAAAGATGTAAAGATGCAGCACATTAGGGACATGGTTTAGGGGTGGAACTGTCAGTGGAGGGGTAAGATTTGGACTCAGTTATCTGAAAGTCTTTCCCACTCTGAAAAATACTATGATTCTGTATGTGCATACACACAGAGGTTCCACAAAGTCTTATTTGACAGTCTGGTTTTCATAATTTGTCACTTACACAGCCATCTCATTAAGTGTAGGGAAGGTGACCCACCACTGAGGCCAACAGAACTACAATCACATTTATGTGATTTTTCCAGAGGAAAAAAGGGTTTATTTTATAGTCTTAGCTGAAGTAGCAGAATCTGTGATGTTTACCTCTGAACTTACAAAGCTGTCTGAAGTCTGCATTGTCAGCAATTGCAGTTCAAAACCCCTTGTACACCATCAGAAAAACATGGATCTAGAGAGATGGTTAAAATTTATTCTTCCGATCCCATGAACTGTACAAGTCCTGTGCAACTCACTTTGGCAAAGTAATACTTGAATCTCTATAATTGTGTTTCTCTTACATTTCTTTCAAAGAGGCTGACTTAAACCTTTTTATTGTAAACACGGAAAAGCTATTGAGCAATTGAGGACAATGAAACACAGTAGACTGAATATTGTCCTGGATAGTGTCAGTGCACAGGCAGAGGTGAGATTTCCTTGCCCATGCTACAAGCTGGTAAGCAGTGTGCTTGTGTGGAGAAACAGATGGCTTCTGTGTTCTACTAAAGTAGCAGATCTTGTATACACTCTCTCCTAGCCTCTATATAAAAAATAAAATAGTTCCCCCATGTAACATACACAGTTTTTATTTGATTATGAGATTTCAGTCCCATTTTGTCTTTAATTTATTATGTGATGCCCAAACCACTACATTTTCACTGCCTCAGTTTAAATAATTAATTTTTTAAATTTATATTTTAGTCCTTATGGCAAGAAATTTGAAAGCCTGGATATCTGCAATATCCTGCCTAGGAACCAGAAATGAGATTGGTAGGAATGAAATATCGAGATAAGATTGTGTTATAAGCAAGAAATGGTCCATGAGCAGTACAGGAAATAAATTCTGCAATATAGTAGAATGCCAAGTGTATACCAAAAGTAAGGAGGAAATTAATTGCAAAACAAAATAAAACAAAATAAATCCCAAACACAAAACCCAATGAAACCAATCACTTTGATCACCAAATAAAAGGCTACAACATAGCATGAAGGGAAACTACTTCATCACAGGCTTGATCCCTGTTCTCATTATAAGAAAAGGGGATTTTGTCACCACCTTCAATCACAGCTAAAATTTTATGTTACTGCCCTCTCAGTGCCTTTTTTTGCCAGAATCTCAGCTG